ATTTGAAGGCCTATCCAACAAAATAATAATTGGATCAAAATTTTATAGCCATAAAATCATGTTCTCTCAGTTTTGCAATGTGGACACGAAAAGTGGAAAATAGGTTATGGTTTAGGGAAATGAGCTAGAATTTCGATTGCTTCATGAAATATATTGGATAGAACATGAATTTAAGCACTACAAAGATTAAATACTCAACTCGACCAATAATTGCGGTGAAAGGTGTTCATCAACGGGTTTGGTTTTGGGGAGACATTTTTAGGTGTCTATAAGAACACACACGTTTTTTCAGAAAAATCGAAGGAAGGTGACTGTGAGGAGAGAAAACAAGCCACCGGACTGATTTTAGGACTGCCGTGACACGGCAGAGAGCACCCTGTCATGGTGCTTCACACCGTCAGACGGTGTACTGCACCGTGACACAGCAGATTCTGTCGTGGCATGGCAGTATGAAAATCAGACTTGTGCCCTGTTTTCCTTCATACGCAATCAAGTTATTCAATTTTTCCTACGGGACAGACCTAAATGCGACGTTAAAAATTCTATGCTAAAGCAACAATGCCAAATTAATCACAGGAATATTTTTCAAGAATTTTTCAAGTCCCATCCACTCATCTTAATTAAATATCGATCACTTAAATCGATAAATAACCAAGAATCCTCCCCAGTGGAGTCGCCAAATTGTAGGCGTCGTTCGAAGTGCGCCTACGTAAAAACATGTCTGAATATGCTTGGCCCTCATAGGAAGTGGGAATTGACATTACGATTAGGGACAACGATTAGGGACAAAGCAAATTAGGGAGCCGCCAACAAGTTTTTAAGGAACTTGTAACCGTTCACGGATCATTTAAGGCAACCACGAATAAGGGACAACGATAGGCAACAACGATTGACCCGTGAAGGTTACACCCCATTCATAATCGATGAGATTACTAACTCCAAATGGTTCGGAGCCACGAAAGGAGGATCGAGGATGATGGTACGAAGTGAATCATGGAGTCACATTTGCCCGTATTGGCCTCTACTCGATTCTTTTAGTGAAAAGTGATTCCTACGACCTCAAAGGCATACAAACAAATATTCAATTTGCTCCAAAATATTATTAAGATAAATTGGTTGAATATTAATGCAACATATAATTCTAATATATTGTGATCACTTGATTAAACAACAAGATTAAAAGGAACCTTAAGCGTTTGTCCAAATTATCTTATTAGGCGTGATTTTCAATTACATATTCCCTTTAAATATGCAATATGGTGATCATAATAACAATAGAATAAATATTAATATTGGAAGAAATTTAACAATAATAACGTTAGTCAAATCAAATATAAAATAACCTAATCATGATACTAGCAATATAAAAAAAAATAAAAAAAAATATAAAGTAATTAAATTAATTAGTTACTCAAATTCCGCGCGTTCCTTTAAATTGCTACATCATGAATAAATTGTTAGGAACTTCAATAAAAATATAAATCAAATGAAAATTAAATTAAATTAAAAGTAGAGTTGATTTGGTCCAAACCCTCAGTTATTTGTACCTTTCACGCCTTGGTTTAAGGACGGAACCTCGGGTTAAGTATGGACTCCTTGGAGCGCTTAGGGGAATTGTTATGGAAGAATAAGGAGGCTAGAAATTAGGTTAAAGAGGGAGAAGAGAATGATTTTTGGTGCCCCGAACTGTAGAGAGGAAGGGGTATTAATAGGGAAAATGAGTAGGTAACACACTGAACCCTAAAAAAATGGATAAAAACCCTACCGTGACACGGCAGATTCCACCGCGACACGGTAGAATCTGCCGTGACACAGGGAAAGTTGTGTGACGTGAGGGGTTTGCGCTTGAAAAAATAAAGCCCAAAACACGGGAAATACGGAACCCTAAAAAAGGATAAAAACCCTTAAAAAGGTAACCACTACATGGTAGATTCCACCGCGACACGGCAGATTCTACCGTGTTATAGGGGAAATTAGTGTGACGCGGGACATATTTGACCTACGGGAAGTGACAACGCATGAAGGGTTTACGCAGAAAAGACACGAGAATATCCCATGTCACGGTATGTGTACCGCGACACGGAAAAGAATACCGCGACAAGGAAATGCCCTTCGTGACACGGCAATGTCCACCGCCGCTCAGTAAAATACACCGTGTCATGGTGAAATAAGCATGCGGATGGCGCAGAAAAGCACCGTGTCACGGTATGTGTACCGTGACACGGTAAAGACTTCCGTGACATGGTACAAATCCCCGTGCCACGTCAATCTTTCCCGCGACGCGGCAAATATGTTGTTTGCGCGGTAGTTTCAGTTTTTTACCTGTTTTTAAAATCATCATAACTTTTGATCCGTAATTGGAATATGGCATATAATATATCATTGGAAATCTTATCATGTCTAATTTCCAAACCAATTAAAATCAGTTCAAAATAATTTGTAGATTTTAAGATAATACGTTTTAGTGGAAGGGTGTCGGTTTTGGGCCGAGTTTAGTATTTTGCTCATATCTTTTTCGTTATAGTTCGGAATTGAGCTTATGATATATGGTTGGAAAGATTTTTTCAAGGACTATACAAAAAATTTATAATTTTATTAAAATTATATAGCCATAAAATCAGTTTCTCTCGGTTTTGCGATGTGGACACGAAAAGTTGAAAATAGGTTATGGTTTAGGGAAATGAGCTAGAAATTGGAGTGCTTCATGAAATTTATTGGATAGGAAATGGATTTAAGCACTCCAAAGATTAAATACTCAACCTGACCAATAATGGAAATGAAAGGTGTTCATCATTGGGTTTGGTTTTGGGGAGACCTTTTTAGGTGTCTACAGAAGCCGTTCTAGAAACACCCATATGTCCACCACTAGGATCTGAGTGGCACATCTTCAAAACATTTGGTATTTCCTAATTTGGCACACATCGACATAACAAACCATCAACACCTTTCTTATACAAAATTGGCTCATCCCAAACATAGTGCCTAGCTTCTCTCTTAAGCATCTTTCTACGATTCTTGGAAAAAGAAGGAGGAAACTCCCCACAAGGAAGGTAATTATCCAAATCGAAAAGCCATGGGAGTTCCTTCACATTTATAGAATACAAGAAGTCTTACAACATTCTATATTCAATAGGGGACCCATCATCTTGGACTTCAAAATCCTCAAGTCTTGATAAATGGTCCGCAACCACATTTTCCGCTCCTTTCTTGTCTCGAATCTCATGATCAAAAGATTGGAGTTCAAGAACCCAACGAATTAACCTTGGCTTAGATTCCTTTTTCCCAAAGAGGTATTTCAAAGCCGCATGATCGGTGAACACAATAGTCTTGGACCCCAACAAGTAACAACGAAACTTTTTAAAGGAATGAACAATTGCTAAGAACTCCTTTTCCGCTGTTGTGTAATTCCTTTGAGCAACATTAAGGGTCTTCGACATGTAATATATGACATGGAGCTTCTTATCAACCCTTTGACCCAACACACCCCCAATAGCCGTATAACTTTCATCACACATAAGCTCGAAAGGCAAATCCCACCTAGGGGCTTGGACAATGGGAGTGGAAGTCAAAGCTTTCTTCAATTTGTTGAATGCCTCCAAACAATTGTCATCAAACACCAAATCAACATATTTTTGGAGAAGGTCATTGAGGGGCTTGGCAATGACTAAGAAATCCTTGATGAATCTTCTATAGAAGCCCGCATGCCCCAAAAGTGATCTTAATCCCTTTACATTCACCGGGGGTGGAAGCTTCTCAATAACCTCGATCTTGGCTTTATCCACTTCTATTCCTTTATGAGAGATTTTGTCTCTAAGCACTATTCCTTCCTCCACCATGAAGTGGCATTTTTCCCAACTTAACACTAAGTTCACATTCTCACACTTTGCTAAGCATTTTCCAAGATTCTCAAGGCAATCCTCAAACGAAAACCCCCCTACGGAAAAATCGTCCATAAAAACCTCCATTTCTTCCTCCAACATATCTCCAAAAATGCTCATCATGCATCTTTGGAAAGTTGCGGGAGTATTGCAAAGACCAAACGGCATTCTCCTATAGGCAAAGGTCTCATAAGGGCATGTGAACGTTGTCTTCTCTTGATCGTCGGGGTGAATTAAGATTTGGAATTATCCCGAGTAACCATCAAGGAAGCAATAAAACTTGTGTCTAGTTAGTCTCTCAAGCATTTGATCAATGAATGGAAGGGGGTAATGATCCTTCTTGGTGGATGCGTTTAGACGTCTATAGTCTATACACATACGCCAACCGGTGACCGTCCTAGTCGGAATGAGCTCACCTTTCTCATTCTTGACTACGGTCATACCCCCCTTCTTTGGAACAACATGAACGGGAGAGACCCACCTAGAGCTTGAGATGGGGAATATGATTCCCGCATCCAAAAGCTTGGTGATCTCTTTCTTCACTACCTCCCCCATTTGGGGATGTAGCTTACGTTGTCGTTCAATAGAGGGAAGGGTGCCTTCCTCAAGCGTTATATGATGCGTACACAAAGCGGGTCTTATACCCTTGATATCATCAATGGTATAGCCCAAACCACCTTGGTGCTTTCTCAAAACATCACATAGCGCTTGAGCTTGGCTCTCACTCAAGGATGCACTAGAAAGAACGGGATAAGTAGAATTTGGGCCTAAGAATTCATACCTAAGGTGTGATGGTAAAGGTTTGAGCTCTACCATAGGCACACCTTTACCTTCTTTGGTCGAGGCCACTTGCAAAGCATCTTGACTTGATATCCCCATGCAAATTTGTTCATCACTTCCTTCAATGCTTCCATCAAGCAAATCTTCATACAATTTCACTTCCTTGCTAGGAGCACCTATTTTTTCTTTGTTCAACAAAACACACTTAAGAGGATCATTAGATGTGAGAAATTTCTCATGCATGGATTGCACAATATTATCAAGAACTTCAACTCTCATGCAATTTTCAAAAGAAGAAGAGGGATATTTCATACCTTCATTAAAATCAAACTCAACTACCTCCTATCCTATCTTAAGAGATATCTTAGCACTCTTGACGTCAATCATAGCCCCCGATGTAGCAAGGAATAGTCTACCTAAGATGATAGGGATAGTACCATCTTCATCCATATCCAACACTACAAAATCTACCGGAATGAAAAATTTCCTCACCCTCAAGGGAACATCTTCTACCTTACCCTTTGGGATCTTGATCGACCTATCGGCTAATTGCAATGTAATCTTGGAAGGTAAAAGCTCTCCTATCTCTAGTCTTTGATAGACCGAATATGGCATAAGTCTAACACTAGCTCCTAAGTCACATAAGGCATTATCAATTTGAATCTTATTAATAGCATAAGGGATAGAGAAATTTTCGGGATCCTTCAACTTAGGTGACATCTTATTCATTATGAACACACTACAATTCTCAGTTAGGGTAATCGTTTCCGCCATATCACATGTCCTCTTTCCACTCAAAATTTCTTTAAGGAACTTAGCATAGTTTGGCATTTGTTCTACCACATCCGTGAAAGGAAGAGTAAGATGAAGTTGCTTAAGCATCTCTATGAATTTCCCAAATTGCTCATCCAATTTGTGCCTATTATACTTTTGGGGATAAGGGAGCTTGGGTTTGTAAAGTTCTTTCTCTTTCTCTTTCACTCTTTCTACTTATTCCTCATCAATTTTTCCAATTAAGGGACTCTCATCTCCCTTAATCTCAATCGGGTTGTTGCTAGTACTCTCTCTAGCATCACTCTTTTTAGGTACTCCACTCTCAAGGACCCTACCACTCCTAGTAACAATTGCATCCATAGGGTTCTTAGATTCTAAGCTCGATGAAGTAAAAAAAAAAAAGAATTCTTAAATTCCTTAAAATCACTAGCCAATTGAGAAAGTCGGTTTCCTAACTCCTTATTTTGAGTCAACATGTCATTAAACTTCTCATCATTAACGGCCATGTAGGATCCTAGCAAATTGGCTTGTTTCTCAAAAACCTCTTCCAAGAAACTCCTAGAAGAAAATGGTTGATCATGGAAATTATCACTTGGGCCTTGAGTATTTGGAATGGATCCAAGTGGGGTACCTCTTTGAACATTAGGTTGAAAATTTCCCCTACTTTGATTATTCCAATCACCCCTAGCTTGATTTTGGCCATGATGTTTACTATGGTTACCATAACCTTGGTTATGATCCTAATGCCCTCGGTCATGGCTTTGACCATTATAACCATGATTGTTATAGCTACCACGAATCTCTTGGACTCCATGATTTCTACAACCACTACTTTGATTATAATTATCATAGTTCGCTTGGTTGTGATAATTCCTATTTCCAAAATTTCTTTGAACCTAAAATATAGGTTCAAAATTATGATTATCTACATAATTCACATGCTAATTTTCAATCCCATCACATTCATCACAAGGAACATTGGGGCACATAGAAGCATCATGATCATTCATTCCACATAAATCACATGGCCAACATTCTCTAATCATGAAACAAGAAGAAGGAAAAGTGTTACGGTAAGAAGGTGTACCTCCTCTCCCCTTAATTTGGGAGGGAAGAATCGGAGCTTGCGAAGGAGGACTCTCAAGCTTGTCCTTGAGGGATACAACCTCTTTCCCTAAATCCAAAATTAGAGTGGTCAAATCGTTGATGGCATTGAGTTGTTCGATCGAGGACCCCTTGCTAGTTGGCTCTTTCTCCACCTCTTGCCAATTCATATAATGTCTCACCACTTCATCTATTTCATCCACCACTTCTTCTTCAGTTTTGTTCATTATCGGGCCTCCGGCTTTGGCATCTGAGCTTGCTTTTCCTTGAGAACTCAACCCACCATAGAAGATTTGTATAATTTGGTTGTTAGGAATCCCATGATTTGGACACTCTCGTTGATACTCCTTATACCTCTCCCATGCTTCATAGAGACTCTCATTACGCCCTTGCTTGAAACTTAGGATCAAAGCCCTACATTCCGCCGTTTTCTTTTGTGGGAAAAAGCGAGATAAGAAAGCCTTGGTAACTTCATCCCATGTCCTTAGGGACCTTGGTTTGACCTCCTTGTCCAACAAATCTAAATCTCTTCCAATGAGAGAGAAGGGAAGCAACTTGAGCCTTATATACTCTTGAGCAACTCCAGTTACCACAATTGTATTGCAATACTTCTCAAAATCCTTGAGATGATTAAGAGGATTTTCACTTTTTGTAACACCGAATTGTTTCCTCTCGATCAAGGTAATCATAGCTGGTTTACTTTCAAAATCGTTATCCGGAAACAACAATGGAACAATCCCACTCTCATACTTGTAAGCATCCGAAGTGCCCAACTCCTTCAATGTCACTCTATGAGCTTCTCCCATGTTCACTTGCACACACTATCTCAAAAAAAATTATTAGTAACACGACTATATATGTAGCCTAAAGGAAAATCTTTTTCTGTTTTTGAACAAGATGGAATAGACTCAACAACAATACGAAATCACAACACCGTTTCCAAAGGAACCTAGGTCGTTGGACTAATCCTCCCTAAGCCAAACAAAATTTATAAACACTTAACTAACCTAAATACAAGTATAGAGGTAAGTCAAGGGTCAAACCCAAAGGAACGGTAATGTCTAAGTGCTTTCAATTTGGGTGCCTAAGCTAGGTCGAAGACGAAGGAAAGGAGGTGACACTAACAACTAATTAAACGAAGAAACCGAACAAATAAAGTGCTAGGGATTAGGATTCAAATGAACATAGAAAATTGGGATAGGAAGTTAACTAAGTCAAGTGATGCGAGAGAAAACCAATCATGCAACCAAAAGAGCATATTAAGCTATTTTCCTAGAGGTCTAACTAGCGTCAACTACGATAAACTCTAGCTAGGAACGTCACATGACACCTCAATCGTTAAATGCAAGCCACAAATCAATTGTTCGTATCAATGTGAACTTACAAAGAAATCTAGTGCAACAATCAAAGTTGGCCATTCTTCAATCAATTACACACATGCACATGATCAATCGACCAATTTAATCACATCATCAACTCCTTCAATTATCCCCAATTTACATCAATCCATCACATCATATAAGCTTCACCATCACCCTATCATCAAATCAACAAATAATTATAGAAAACAAGAATCAACAATCTATCAAGATCAATTACTCTAATCAAAGACCAAACATCAAAATCAAAACAAATCAAACAAACATGAATATTAAACAAAGCAATAAATGAGATAGAGTTTAGAAATGCTCGTTGACAATAGAGAAGATCTCCAATACAATTGTCACCATTAAATCTTCAATCTCTCAATCACCATTGAAATTCCTCACTTTCTCTCTCTAAAATCTACTCCTAAAACTAACCCTAAAACTAGAGAGAGAAGCTCTCAACTAAGCTAAGAATATGATCAAAATATAAAATAAAACTTGCTTGAAAAAATTGGGTTCAAAAGGGTATTTCTAAGTGGCACAAAACGAAGAAGATCGAAGCCAGAACCTGCAGTGCGCGCCCGCACAGCTATAGTGCGCGCCCGCGCTCTTCTGGGTTTCTTCGGATCTTCTTTTGGCTTCATGCGTTCGCTAAGGTCGCACGATTACGATGGTGATGAACACTAAAGTAGGCAGTAGCTTAAGCTCTAGATTAGTGGGTACACCACTTCTTAATGGTAGCACGGCATGAGAGCGCAAGAGCCAAGACTTGGAATTTCCACTTCATTACATCTTGAGCTTTCCAAATGTCGTGAGCTTGCTCAAAAGGCTTTCTCCACCTTAGTAGATCACCAATATCAAGACCCAAACCTCATACAATACCTACAACCACGAAAATAGAGCAAATAAAGAAGAAAAGGCTAGAAAACCAACGAAATACACAAAAGCTACAAAATAATAGAGGAAAGGTAAAACTAAGCAACAAAGCATAAAACTAAGCATTTATTGAGCAAGAAAGCTATGAAAAGAGGATGAAATCAACCTAAATTCTCATCAAATGGGTGCCATTTATGACACCCATCAAATCTCCAACTAAATTCCACATCCATCTTAATTAATCCAATTAATTAGGCCGGTAAAACCCAATTATTTGCCAAAATAAAATTTGCAAATGCCGCACTTGAAAAACCGAGGCCTAGCCTCAAAAATTTATTAAAATAATTAAAATTAAATTATATTAATAAAAAAATTAAAACGACAAAATAAGCAAAACTTTATGTAGTCCAAAATATCCAAGTGCCAAGCACTAAGACTTGGAGTGCTCACAACTCGCACACATCTCGCACGATCTCATTGTACCACATTGCTTCACAAGCAATGTCGCATATTCCCCTTAATGATGTACCAAGCTATTCACAAAAAACAACCCTAAAGTAAGCCCAAATGTAAGCACCCTAGGCGTCTTACCCACGACAAGCCACAAGACTGCCATGGTGCGCCAAGGGCTGCAAGTGCAGCAACCACCACGCGCATGTGCACCACTTTGAGGCGCCTAGCAGCCTCGACAGACCCATGTGGGTTGCATGAGCAACCCGGCTGGCCGAGAGCATGCTTGGGGCTCTTAGGCCTCGATTTGGTGCTCATGCTTCGGGAAAAATCCCGACTTTGTGTGACATTTTTAATCAATTACTAAATTAATTTTAGAATCAAGTAATCTTAAGGAAAATGAAAATTATAACAAGTCCAACTTAAATAAATTCATCCAAGTGCATAAAACCGAATTATTTCAAGAACCATTCTTTAATAAAATTGGTTTAACTTGGTGCAACAAAACTAAGAAGGAAATTACTCACTATTAATTTAATTAATTTAAATTAATCTTGAGTTTTCACAAAATAAAAGGGAGTTGGAAAAATGAACATAAGTTCAACAAAGATTCCAACTTAATACTTGTGAATCCTTGAAAAATTATATCTTCCAATATGAAGATAAACAAATTTCTATAACAAGTTTCAAACTTTATGATTCCAATCAATTAAAAGTTGATTAAATCAACAAAGTTCAACAAAAATTCATGGAATATAGTAATTCAAAGTTTCAATCACTTAACATAGTTAAAGATTGAATCTTTAGTACTTAGAAGCCTCAAAGAACAACAATTTCACAATTAATGCAATTAATTTGCAATTATGGGAAAAATAAAACCAAGCTTTCAAACACAAATTACAACAAAGTAATCATGCCTAAAGAGGTTTAAAATTGCATATAAAATATGTATTGAACCAATTACATAACCACCATAAATATGCAATTAATTTTCAAAGTTAGAAAGACTTAAAATTTTTCATAAAAACGAAAAACCCCTCGAAAAATGCATTTCTGGTCGTTTTTTGGCTAAAAATCGAGGCCTAAAAGGGTTAGACCATTTCCAAAGCACCTTTTTTCACCCAAAATTCACTTTTTTTGGTCGAAATCTGGGTTCGAGAGCTGAAGTCAGCTCTAATACGAGGTTAAAATGGATAAAACGAGCTACCAATCTAATTAACAACTTATAACCAGAAAAATTAAGCCATAAAAATACCTAGAAAAATATTATGATTTTAAAAATAAACGAGCGAGGCTCTGATACCACTGTTG